TCCTGCTGGTCCATTGTCTACAGGGTGTATTGAGCCAACAGGACAGGAAAAGTATGTTAAGAACAGGCTTTTTGGAGGCTATCAATTCCATTTTTAGTCATCTGAATTGAAGCCTACTTTGAAGAATTTGCCCTTTTATTTTTAATGAAAAATCTAAGTCAATAATTTACAGCCTTGCTGGCAAAAAGGTCTCTTTTAAAAAATCCTTGGTGAAATAGCTTTATTTTGCTTTGTCTAAAATATTTCATAAACAAAGCATTCTTGTGTATTTGGCTTTGTTAATATGTTTCCTCTCCTTCAAAATGAAATAAAAAGGGACAAAAATGTAGAGAATGATATTAAATCAGGAAAAAAAAGTGAAATTAAACTGGAGACAGCTTGAAGGTTCCTGAAAATCCTGAAAATACCCATTACACCTCCCCTTTCCTCCCTCCCTTCTCTAGGCAAGAGGCAGCATTCCATTGTATGAGCCCACAATGAGAAGCAATACAATGTTTGCTATCTGGCCAGGCTGGAATTACTGTCAATTCAGCTGCTCTGTGCAAGAGATATTAAAGAACATCTCTTGTTCCATACACATTCTGTCTGCAGCAATGAAGCTTTTTCAGTCTTTTTAACAAGGGCAGTACAATGTCTTTGGAGGGATTATATGGTTGCCTTTTCTTACTGCAACTTAAAGTATAATAGAGAACCATGGAGTAACTATAATGTTGTAATTAACTGGAGTGGCTCTGCTGATGTTATTAACCATGAGCATATAATTCAAGTGACTTCTGAATAGCCATAAAGCCCCAGGAGTGACATACAGCTCCATATTCACTTCCTAACCATCTGTTATTATCCAATGTTGGATTTTCAAGTTTATGGTGAAAGTTTTAAAGTAATGTCTCTCTGTGAGATGTTGGAAAATGCTTTTCTAGATGGTCTGTGACTGGGGGAGTAGGTAAAAATTATAATACATTTGTACTAAATATTAGTTTTTATTTTACTCTATCAAAGCAAATACATGCTTCTAATTCTTATTATCCTTTTTTTTCTTCCCCAGTGCAATATTCTTTTTCATTCTAATTCTTTATTCTGAGCAATTTATGTACATTTGACACAACTGTAGCCTGCATTAGGGAGAAGTAGAAAACATTCAGTTCAAAGCCATTATGACTCTTCCTGCCCTGTGGTGTGAAGCTCAGCTTGTGAGAGTTGTCATAGCTCTATTAAGGTCAACATTCCAGCAACTGGCAGAGCATCTGATGCTCCTATGATTTTGATCTGAACATCCTCATGATTTCCTTCCCATCTGCTTTCCTTTACATGCTAAACATTTATATTTCAAAAACTGTGTGCCTAGAATTTTACCTTTTAATTCACACAAGCACTTAAAAGTGGGACACAATTAGATCTAATACTGGAGTCTGAGCCTAAAGTAACCAGCCATGGTTTATCAGAGGTCTCTGAAAGGCATTTGAAGTTAAGTGAATGCTGCTGCTGCTATGGACAAAGAACCTCTGTTGGCTTGAGGCTGTATTATAATTATTACTAGAATCAGAGTAACAGTAAAATTCTCAGAGAGGAAGCAGAGAGCAAGAGAAGATGGTTGTGTTGATGAACGACAGTGAGACCCATAGGGACAATAGAAGCACATTACCAAAGGTGACTTTACAAATGGATATGGTTTGTTGAGACACAGTAGGGTCTGAGGCAGAGGTGAGGGAATTAAACGAGCATGAAGTGAATTAAATATCATGGTACATTTTATAGGACTGGTAGAGCTCAGATAAAATCTGTCCCAAGGGATGCAGAGCCAGGAGTCAAGGGAATTGATGGAACTGTCAGAGCAAGGGCTTTGCCAGGCAGTGACAGCCAGATTCAGCCCAGGGTCCAGATCAGACGAACTCACAGCAATGAGGCAGGGGCAAGGCTAATGTGGTAATTCAGTTTGCTGGTCAGGGCTCTGACCTTATCTGATGGGGGTGGTAAGAATCAGACATAGCACCACGGTTGCTGGGCAGGATCAAAATCATGCTGGAACGTCCTTTGTGGGTTGGGGTATCAATCAGCAGGGTCCATGGGCAGACATTGGCCTGGCCTTGGCTGAGCTGAGCCTGGAATTTCTGTGAATTCATTGTGCAGGGCCTGACAGCATCCTTGGACTGAAGTGGGGATCCTGGGCCAGGGTGATGGGCTGGGCCAGTGGCCCCAGAGTTGGATGGTCAGAGTCTTGAAGAACTATAAGTGTGCTCAAGGTCCTGGCAGCAAATGATGAGTAGTGACAAGAGCCTCTGAACTACCTTTTGGGTTCAGAATTGGGGTTGAAGCTAAAGGCATAGATTTAAACGAGATAGCTTTAAACTGTGTCAGATAAACCCCACAGAATTAGGATGTGGGCTGACTACAGCAGCACGGTGGTTAGGTCTATGAAAGGTTTCACTCAAGTGTAGTTAAGGCTAAGTTCCACTCAGGGAATAAATAAATATAGTAAAAGGCACAATTTATTTCTAAATCAGTATAGGCTAGGATAAGAGCTGTGAATTAATTTAGCTGCCTCGTGGGTTGCACAGCAATGGCAAAAAAGAAAAGTGAAGATAGTTTTTTACTTCTGGGTATGAACAGGAATAAGTTGCAGATTGACCTAAAGCAAGGACAAAGGGCTTTCCTTATCTTCTTCCTTCAAAAAAATAGATGGGGTTTTGTGTATGTGCCCTTGGTCAATTTAGCATGGGCAAATGCTGAATGTGGATCCCTCTTCCAAAGAGGTTTTGGTTGTAATTGACATTATTGAATGCTAGATATTACTAATATTATGTTTGAAGCTGAGACCAAAGTGTCAGCTTTAGCAAATCTGTTGAACTAGACGGAAAATTATCCAGTCTTTCACAGGACTTTTCTAAAGCCACCCCTTTGGGCACACAGTCACAGTAAAGCTGGCTGGGTACAGGACCCCAGATCTTGGCCTTGAGAGAAAATCAGCTGGTGTCATTTTGAACACCCTCAGGGACAAGCAGCAGAGCCTGCACTCACGCTGTGCCGTGGGTCAGCTGAAAGTAGGGCACAGTGTGACACATTATACAGACAGTGAGGAACCTCTGAGTCTGGTGTGGCAATAGCCAAGGCAGAAGAGGATAAATGGTGCCTTTCTTTTGACTCTCCCTTTCTCTAGGTTGTCCCATACTGTAATGGGACAAAGAATACCAGCAGTGGTAAATTTGGATGTATATTGAATTAAATTTTCATTTGTTGTAGATGGATTAAATTTTACTTAAAAACACAGCACAACTCTTTTCAGCTTTCGCCAAAGACTCTGGTGAAGTATCTTTTTTCCTGCAGTGGAGCCTATCAGTTCTCATTTGACTGACTTTCTCAGCATAAGTTTCTACTTGCAGATACTTTTCACACGCTTTCTTGACATTTAACCTTGCATTGTTTAATTTGGAGGTCAGAGCTGGGTATTGCCAGGCACTGAGCAGTGGACACTAGGGATAGATTTATTTTAATTGTCTTCTCTTTGCATTGTCAATCTTTAGTTCGTTTTGCTGAATTCCTAATTTGTTTGCAATATACACCTACACATTAACATGTCCGTACTAAAGTATTCTCCAGCATGCTAGAATAGGTGCATGGAGTAATGGTACCATTATTGAAAAAGGAAAGGTGGAAAAGCAGTTTGTTTACAGTCCTGCTTTTTGACAGTCTCCTATTGCAAAGAAAAAATTATAGGAATCTGATCAAACCTTTTGAAAGTCAGTGGGAACTTTTCCATAAACTTATTTGGCATTTATTAGATTATGAATGAAATCTATGATGGAATGATGTAATATTAATTTTCTGCTGTGAATTGCAGAAGTAGTAGAGATGAAGCAGATTTTTTGAGAAAGTTATGACATAAAATTAGCACTGCTGGTTTTTACCAAGTAGCCTAATCACTGTACTCCCCTCAGATACAAAAGCAGCATGTTTGTCCTCTGCTCCTCTGAACAATATCTGACAGCAACTAAAGATGCAAAAAATAAATACAAAAAAAAAAAAATTATTATAGTTAACTGGAAGATGTTAATTTATCCAGTGTGGAATCAGACCCCATTCCCAGTCTAATTTCAAGACTATTTCATGCACAAAGGATGGACAGCTTGAGGACTGTTCAAGTTTTATCATCTTCAGATCCCCAGGCAGCACAGACAAACTATTTGTTTTTAACGAATTTGTGCTGATCCTTTATGAAAATCCAGCTATTTACGAGATAGTTTGTTTGTGGTTCCTGGGCTGTTTCTGTTGAATAGCCTTCAAGAAGAGAAGAACTGAGACAAAGGTTAAACATCAGGCTGCAGATGAAAAATCTTTCCTAAAAGTAGCACAGTGCTGCTTGTGAAATGTGTCTGGTTTTCACTTTTGCCACCTACCAGAGTCAGACACTTGTTCACAAAGGCTTCTGGCACAGCAAGGCCATTCCCCTGCAGTCCCCTCCCTTAGCAGGTGTTTGGTGCAGACACCTGTCGCCCTGATTCTTAAGTTTTTCTAAAGCCTTCTGAGTTTACATTCTGTTGGAAAACTTTCCCATACAATTTCTGTAAACAACATATTGTTGTGCATTCCTTCATGGGGGTGGAGAAAGTTGATGTACTAGTGGTTTGTCCAATGTCTTTGGAGAGGTGGCCCATTCACTCTCCAATCCATTGTCACCTTTGGAAAAGTATAAAAGTTGGAGTCAGAAAATAAACGCTCTCGTACACCTCGTACAGGTGTACAGCTCTTACACCTCCTGATGGGTCACAAACGGGGGCAGAGGTGAGGAGAGGGTTAGCCTGGGACTAGTCAGGAGCAGGCACCAATTGCAATGCAGGACAGGTCAAGAACATGAGCTTTTACACCACAGGGAGGAAGGGAGAATCCTTCTGAAGTGGAGGACTTTCAGTGAGTGTTTTATTTTCAGAGGCACTTAGCTACAGGCAGAGAAAAGCTACTCTTCTCAAACATGAGTGTTGACACTGAGTCAACAGCAGTTTAATTCAGCCATGTAATTTATATTTTAAGACCCCAATCTGAGTGATGTGAATGTTTAAATAATTAAATATAATCTATTCCACAAAGTCTCTTCACTTTCTCCCAAATTAAGCATTTCTTACATTTGATTTTCAGTGCAAGTTCTACAGATTGCTAAATCAAGACATCAAAACATTATGAAATTTACATATAATTAATAAATACAGTTTTCCAGTCAGAAATCCCCTGAAGAAACCACTGGTTTATGGTTTGTTGTTCTCCCTGAAGAAATTTGTGTTTAGGAAATGCCAGTGTCTCTTTTCCTAAAAAAAAAAAAAATACAGTGAGGTAATTTTAAAAATGAAAACTAATAAAATTAATTATTTTTGTTTGTGTTTTGCTGATGATTCAAACACTCCACTGATATGCTTATTAAAAAAAAACAGCTTTGAAGGTAATGTCTTGCTTTCATTTTTACTTGGAAGAATTACCTCTGTACTTACCTCTAATACAGCATGGAAGCCATTCCTTTTATAACACTTGGAGCAATCACTTTTATCCTCCCATAAACTGGATTTCATTGGCAACCTGTAAATACAGTATGACACTGTTGGATTCACAGATACTAAGGATGTGGATATAGGTTTAGAGGCCAGTAGCTGTGGAGTGCTTCACTGTACCCTGCTCTTTTCACTAGATATATATTTCTCTCCAACCTTGGGCAGGGTAATTTTATTCTCCCCGGATAATAACAGTCATATTTTAGTCTGTGTTCTGTGTCTGTGAGGGAGGGATCAAGGACTTACATTATTACATTTATATGCAGATTAGTCCACCTTGACTCAAAGAAAGTGAAATCAAATTAAAAGCTGCTTACCTGCTAGCTCCTTCCTGACAGCAGGTAGCAAGGAAGAACAGAAATGGCATTTTCTTCAAGTTCTACCTTGTTACTTGCCTGTCATATGCAGTAGGTAGGCTCAGGTTGTTTTATGATTTACTGTGGTAGAGAAGCAGCAAACCATCAACATAACGGGAATGAGGAGGGAGTTTTGATGCAGGCACTTAGCTCTTAAGTCAAATATCTGCTGAAACAGGACATTTGCCTGGGGCTGTGGGGCAGATTGCCAGACTCTGGCCTCTGTTATGTGCCAGAAAGAGCTGTGCATGCACTGACAGCACCCCTGAGGTTCTCTGGCACCCATCCTCCGAGACACGAGATCATCTGCCTGACTTCTTGTTTGCTCCCAGGATGTTGCTTATCCATGGAAGAGGGAGATAATAAACTCCTCTGACTACTGAGGCTGGGAATCCTTGGTATTCCCTAGCTGAGTGGAAGTAGTTGACAACTAGATGTCTTTAACTTCCATTTTCACATGAAGCAAAATGTCTGGCAGGATTTCAAGGACTAGTGAGAGATTTAAGAAGTCAAATATTTTTCCCCTCTGACTTCCCCAGGTGAATAGGGATTTGCACTCTTCATTACAAGATGCAGGGACAGAGATCAGTGATATATTCTGCTGTACAAACTTTAGGAGTAAAAATAACTTGGTAGGTACCAACACAGAAAAAATCTGAAAACTATGCTGCTTATGAGAAGGAAAAAGGAGAAAATAATTTTTAGAATATATATGAAGATTCAGAAAGACATACACTGTAGGTAGAATTATCTTTAGATGGCATGTTTTCAAATTTTGTGTCTTCTGAGACCGTTGTTTTTACAAGGATCTTCATGAAAATTAAAGCACATTTGTTGCCCATTCACACCTTTGCTTTTCATTCCAGAAGAAATCCTCTATGATTTAGAGGTGAAATATCTCAAAGGTTTGCACAGAAGCCAGGGAATGCAAAAATTAGTGTAGTCATAGTGATGCAACCCTAAGCCTCTACAAAGTGTTAATATCATCCCAGGAACAAATTCAAATGAAGCATTTTAATTCAGTGACTTCCATTTCTATGGTCACAAACCACCAGTTCTTCAAAACCATCTTTTTTACTGTTATTATGTTATTATAAACCACTTTACATGCATAAAGAATTCCCTCAGTCATGTCCACTCAGTTTAGTATTTACCTGCTTAGACTGGAAAATGTGAAAACCCTGTCCACATGATAGATTTGGTTCTTTTGTAGTCTTACTAATTTTCTCATAAAATACATGATTTTTGGTGAGTTTAGCAAAACTTACTGAGAGACAATTTTTATTCATTCTTAATAAGCATTTCTATTTCAATCCACTGTTTGCCTAATCTCTCTGCTCTATACTGTGCCATGGCAGAGCTGTTATTTTAGATAAGAAAATGCTTGGCATAAGCAAGAAGAGTGGTATGAATGGTAATTACAGGTAGCCAGGCATCCCAGCAGTATTCTTCCAAGTGCCAAATATCTGTGGTTACCCTTCAGGTACCCACAGCCCCTGTCTTGCCTGACAACATCTCTTCAGCCCGCCAATCACTGCCTGGCAACTTACCAGTAGTTCAGACTCTTGCAATAAAGCAGATGAGACTCAGTTTCTTCTTGCAGAAAAATCCCCTTCTTTATTCACAAAGCTCTTATTTATAGGAAATATCAATAGGCACTGATAGACCTAACTGGATAACCATGCATTGACACTCAGTTCATTGGCTGGTAAATGGCCAGGGTGTACAACTGTCAAATCTCTCTATATTTGGTTAGTTTACATATTTTGTTCACTGATTCCCATGGAATAGATTTCTTGTTTATTACAGGTGCAAACAGTTTTCTTTCCATAACAGCTTGTTGTATTAACTTCTTTCATTTTTATGTTTTTTTCACATGGATTGTTAGCTAGCTGCACTTAGAAGAAGTAACAGACCAGCTGGTAATTTAGCAGAGCAAGGCCTGATTTTACAAGACCTTTCTTGTATAACATCTCTAATTGTATGCAATACCAACCTATAGGAACCTGATTAAATTTGGGTTGTGCTGTGGTCCAGAAGTTTAACTGGATCATTCTTATGAGTCCCTTCCAATATGCTGGGGATTCTTTAAAAGCAGGTTGGTCTCAAATGTATGGACTTGAGGTGAGAGATGCTATGCTCAAGCAATTATATATATTATTAAGCAATGATACTGCCTTGTGCAATGCATACCATTAGGGAAACACACAGGAAGGGTTATGCAAGGAGGGGGCAGGATCATTGTTCTTACCACTTTATTCAGAGGCAAAGTTTTCATTACATACCTCCCCAATAATCATCAGTTTTATGATAATTATTGTGGTTCAGATTTGCCAGTTGGTTCAGATTATATTGCAGCATTTGGCTTGAAATGACCCATACTACTCCTGTGTGTATGCTGTGTGAATATGTTTGATCTGACTCAGTACAAAAGTTGTGGGAAGAAAACCATGCCAAACACTGAATATTTTCCTGGCATTTCTTTGCAAGGCTTGGTGTCATGGACAACCAGAAAGACCAAATATCAGTTTCAGAAGGGCAATGGCTTAAAAGGAGAAGTCTCTGTCAGTATTTGAATTGAGACTGAGTGAAATATTTTCCCCTCCTGAAAATTGCAAGCTTTGGGCTTGAAACATACCTTAGCAGAGTGTCAACCTTTACTTCAGCTACAGTGGCTTACCATTTGTTCTCCCTTCCTCTCATCCAGTGAAAAGTCACCTGGCTAGGATTCATTACAACATTTCCACATGAGACAATACTGTAACACGAAAAGAAACAAGTGTATTCTGTCAGCCTGAATACTTACACTAACCAGCACTAGAGAAGTGGCATTCATAACATTCACCAGGAACTTGATTCCCTGATAAAGCTAGTCTCAATATCTTCGACAATTTTGTATGTGGGAGTTCTGCAGCCAGTTCTGGAGTCCCCAGCACAGGAAGGACATTGACCTGCTGGAGCAAGCCCAGGGGAGGCCACCAGGATGATCAGAGGGATGGAGCACCTCTCCCATAAGGAAAGGCTGAGAGGATTGGGATTGTTCAGCCTGGAGAAGAGAAGGCTTTGGGGTGGCCTCAGTGCAGCTGTCCAGTACCTGATGGGAGCCTACAAGGAAAATGGAGAGAGACTCCTTCACAAGGGCATGAGGGGAAATGGCTGCAAACTGAAGACAGCAAGCTTAGATTCAATATTAGAAAGAAATTTTTTAGTGTGAGTGTAGTGAGGCACTGAAATGCATTAAGTATTTGTGAATGCCCAATCCTGGAAGTGTTCAAGGTCAGGTTGATTGGTCCTGGGTATCCTGGTCTAGGGGAAGCTGTCCCTGCCCAGAGCAGGTTGGATGGAACTAGATAATCCTTAAGGTCCCTTTCAATCCAAGTGATTATGATTCTTGCAAGGAGTTGCCACTTTGCAGCTTGTTACTGCAGTTTGGCACTACAGTGTCTTGTTTCTGTTTGACATTTCTAAAATCTGAATTTAACCAGTACAATAGTTAATTGCTGTTCAAAATGCTTCTGTTTCTGTGGGGTTATCTGAACTGATAGCATGTGGATTGCTTTCTATATTTACACATAGCATTTTACAGGTTGCCTGGGAAACCTAGAGCACTCTTTTAGGAAGAAAAGAATCCAAATTAATTGTGCCAATCATAAATTTTAATTAGTTTTGCAAGTGGTCAGTTACATAATTTTGCTAACACAATAGACCCTTTAATATTTGGTATTATGTTCCTAGCATTTATTTTAGGTAAAAGGAACAGAACAAGTATTCTCCAACGTGGCACACTTGGAGGACTATAGTAGTTTAAGTGTAGTAATCAGAAGAGCACATGTTTTATGGAGTATTTATTATAAGTCACAATAGTGAGTACAATGTTGCCATGGATGATCTTATTACTGATTCATAAAGCTGACCTTTAAAAATTAAAAGAACAAAAAAGCGCCATTTTAGGCAGTAGTTGGGATTATATAAAAGTGGATAAAAGTGGTCATGCCTTTGCCTTGGACCTGGATGATATTTATATGTCAGTGTCAAAACTGTGAGCCTGAGCCCCCTGTGATCAGCTGAAAGGTCAAATGGCTCTCCCCTCCTTTCCTGAAATTCCTACCTGCTGCTGTGTCTGCAGCAGGCTACCCCTGGCACGAAAAGATGGAAAGCAAATAAGGAAACTTGTGGGTTGTGATAGTCACAGTTTAGTAAGTGAAGGAAAGAAAAAGAAAAAGAAAAAACCCTGAAACAAAACAAGTGGTGTGATGGCAATCACTGAGCAGTGGCTGTTTTCCTAAAAAAAAAAAAAAAAACCTCACTTGGGTTTGGGATTTTTTGGCTTTGTTTTTTGTTTTGCTGAGCACATGCTGTGCAGTGTGGGATATCCTTAGGGTTAGCTGGGGTCAGCTGTGACAGCTTTGTCCACTTCAGCCTCTGCCCACCCCCAGCCTTCTCACTGGGAGGGCAGAACAGGAAAAAGGGAAAGCCTTGGTGCTGTGCAAGCACTGCCAACAACAGCCAAAACACAGTCTGTTGTCAGCACTGCTCTGGTCACAGATCCACAGCCCAGCACCCAACAGACTGCTCTCAGCACAATTAACTCCATCCCAACCAGAGCCTTTGCAGCAAAAATATCTGACATACCTAGGGAGGTAACTGTGCCTCTCCAATACTCTCATGTTGTCCTTCTGCATGTAGTTACAGCGTTCAGGAACAGGAACATTTGGGCCCACCTTTGGGAGATCCAATTTCTCTTTGTGAATAGCATCCACAGGGTGCAGGGTATTCTGGTGAGAAGCTTTCGTCACCTGCCCAGGCACTGTGCAGAAACATCCCCTCCTTCTTCAGCACATAAGCCAACTGTAAGGGAAGATCCAAGGGGTGAAGGTGCCCAGCTGGGGCACAGGAGCTCACACTGGGTTCCTGCACCTCTTTTCTTTTCAGTGCAGAACAATTATCTAAGCAAGACACAGTTATGGTCACAGTACAAAGTACAAAGCTGAACACCTTCTCTGAATATTAGATTATTTCATACAAAGAATGGTGGATAGCTATCCCTCACTTTTCATCAGAGGAAAGTGTCTTCCCAATGCTCCCAGCTGTGTACTGCAGCACTGGCTGGACCTCCTCTGCAGCCTGAGCAGCCACCAAGACTCATTTCAGGCAGCTGCTCTTTGCTAGCTCGAGGCAGCTCCCTGCTCATCAAGCTAAAATTTCAGACCCTGCTTTGAGGTGTCTAAACTCACAGGCACCAGCCAAAGAAGTTCAAGCCAAGATCTGAAAAAGAACTAATGCCCTCTTGAGCAGCATCTCAGGCCAGGCAGAATATACCAGGCATCCAAAACAGAAAGGCACACCCGTGTTCAGCCAACTTTGAAATCCAAGCTTGTCTTCGAGAGTGACCTAGCCCAATCAAGCCAGGTTCCTAATCCCTCTGACTTGCAGGTATCATTTTCACAAGTGAACTCTCTTCTGTGCACTTCCTTAGAAGCTCTTGACTATGTTAACTGTTGTTAGACTTAAACTACTTCAGTTACTTCTTCCCTCCTGACTGCAGTTTTGCTTAATCCAGTCTGCAGCAGAGGTGTCTAAACCTCCTCCCAACCCAAACCCTGCTATTAAGTAAAAGTACCTCCAGACATAGATGTGACCAGAAGACAAAATGAGCTGTACAATGCACTTTCAAACCACCATGTAACTGAAGGACCTTGTGATTGCCAAGTGCCCCAAAGTCCAATCACACTGACATGTGTGGTGCACATTCCACCTTTGGTAGCTGTTTCAGGAAACAGGATGGTTTCTGAATGAGAGCATCCTTTAATAGCCACCCTGGCAACAATTTATTTAGAAAATAGCATTAAGCCATGGATTGATATAATCAGAGTGCTAAATATTATGATCCTTTTGTTGTATTAAGTAGCTGATAAAATATAATACTGACCTCTTTCAATAGGAGTAATCAAAATGCAAATATGAAATACAAATGAGGTTTTCTCTCTCCACAGACCTGAGAGGTGCCTGTTTTTCAAACTGGGGACTGACCCTCTTTAGATGTCTACATTCATGGAGCACAGAGATGCATGCTCCATGTTTTATTCCTTTCCTTCTAGAAAAACTCATTTTACCTTCAGCTTCTTGTTTTATCTCCATTTTTCAGTTGCATCCACCTGTTTTCCCTTGGTTTATGCATCCTTTGGACAGGGACTAATTTTACAATTGTGACTCATCTGTCACAGGAAGATTGTTCCATGACAGGAGCTCTCAAACATATCTGCAACACCAAATTAATATGCAAATAACTGTAAATATAAGTAACAATAAAACCAAATAACTAAAATGATGTTTAAGCAATTCTGGGTATTTTGAGCCAGATTAGGCAATTTACAGTCTGTCATGAAGAAGGATTTGACATGAATACAGCAGAGCCTTTGCAAAGTAGAAACTGATTGAACAAAACATCAGGCAATATTTCAGCATTACATGCAAAGTATTGCAGTCAGAGAAGAGCTAGTAGATATGATCACTACTTTTCTTCTTGTTGTTTCACTGTTGAAACAGAAGAAAAAAAAAGACAGTCAAAATAAGGGAAAATGGACTTTTGTCTCTTTTAATTATCTGTACTTAGCCAACTTTTATTCCAAACACATAAAATTTACTCTGGTAACAATCCCCTTATATGCTGTGAAATAAATAAACTTTCAAATGGAGTATCTTAAAATTTACCTAATAATTTCATGGTTCTTGGAAATTATAAGATCTTTAAAACAGACACTTTTATACAGCCAATTCATCATAAATTAATCATAACATTGCAACAGAACAATCAAGATTAATTCAGTCGACTTTAATGTAAATGTAATTTCTATTTCTGTAGGTGCTCCATTAAAATTGATCTGCATTTAAATATGAGTCAATCATTGCCTAAAATGAAGTCTATCCTCACTTTTTCTCCCCAGTACAACTTCTGGCCATACATAATGTAACTTGAATCGTGAGAGGAGTTGCTGCTCTGTCTGTGCTACCAGTCTGCCCGATCACAAATACACAGCTTAGGATTTTGTATCTGGTCAGCCTGGTATGAGTATCATAAATGGAAAAACTTACAGAACATACCCAGCTAAATTTAATTCTGCATTTTGTTTAAGTAAAAAGAGGTGAAAGTGTCCTAAACTGCATTAAAGAAAGCCCCACATTTTTGCAGGAGGAAACAATGTTGCTATAGTGTTGACCAGAGAATGAGGAAAATTCTGTGAAGAAAAGATGCTTTGTCCCTATAATTAAATATGGGCATTTAAACAAATAGCACTCCAACATTTTAAAGCAAAAGTGCTGAAAAATACTTTTTATGCAAAGTAAGGATTTTATTAACATAGAACATTCAGAAGGTCCTAAGTGTCCCCATGGCCTCAGCCATGATAAGTTTCTGATAAATCCTGAGCCATTTATGCTACTAGTCACCAGTAATGTGTATGTAGTTCTGATGGACTCACAGAGATACCAGTAAAACCTCAGTGCTGCATCTCACATGGAGACAAAAACTACCAAAGAGACTAAAGCAATTCCTTGCTGCAGGCAAAGGACAATCTGCAGAAGGTCGTGTTGGGAAATTTGCCACAGGAAGGGGCAGGGAGGAATGAAGTAAATTCAAACACACAAAAATTATGTTCACTGTACGTATAATGCTCATGCAACAGCCTTTTGCATTTGTAATACAGACTGCCTTGGGGGAGCTGGAGCAAGAGTTTTGCAAGGTATGAAACTGTTCTTTTAAAAGACAAAAAATTATACATTAAATTATAAAGAGCATTAAGATGACAGAAATCAGTTACCTGTTCATATTCCATATGCTCCAGAAACATATCACTGCAGTACAGATTTAACCACTTATCCAAAATCCTCTATAGCTATAGCAACTACTCAAGCATACCTCTCCTGCTAAATCCACAGCTGAAAATAAACATATCTTGCATTTCTTCTAAAATTTGCATCTTTGCATTTATGCCCTTTAGTATTTCCATAATAAACTGTCTAACATGACAGAAAAAATCATTAGCGATGTGTGCATTTAAATATTGACTAAATTGTGTATGTGTGGGTGGTTTTTGTTTGGTTGTTTGGTTGTTTGGTTGTTTGTTTCAAATAGGTTTTGAAGCATGTTTGTAAAGAAAAACTGAAACCAGATTTGCCAACACTGATTATAGGATCTATCAACTTAAATGGGTTTGGGTAGGTCCAAAAGGACATGACCACCTTTTCACTTGTAGGAATTATCTGTGAGATAATCCTAACTCCTTTTGCTGAAAACACTGAAATGTCCAGTAGTCAAAAGGTAAAATTAGAAATCATCTCAGTTTTCATTTCAAGGATTTATAAATCAATATTATTTCACCTGAGTAAAATAAGGAGTTCTTTCTTCTAAGAGAGGACCAAGTCAGAAGTAGAGAGGCCAAGAGAACTGAATTCTGTTGTTTTGGTATCTACACCACTGGTGTTTAGCAACTATTTCACCAACAACAGAGATCTTGGATGTGTGCTTCTGTGTTTTAATTCCTATTCAGTGGAGTTCCAAAAGTACCCTATTCTAATGTAACCAAAACAGTGGATGCAGGAATTCAGTTTCCAGCCTTTCATTCCCTCTGCAGGAAATTGTTGCTCTTTTTTCCAAAGAGCTGGAAAAAAAAAAAAAAAAAAAAATCAGGAAAATATTCAGAGAACAAAAATGTTTGAGGTAGAGAAGAAGGTAATAACTTGCATATGTGCATTGAAAAGTTTTGAAACTTAGTTTTGGAGCTCTGCTGGCACTTGCATTTCTTCCCCACTTATTGTTGCTAACAGTAAACTTTGTTCAATTCTGTCAGAGCCAACAGAAAAATAGTAGAATATCATCCAGCAGATTCAAACAGCAGGAAAACAGCTTTGCCAAAAAATAAGTAAGTAAATAAATTATTTTTTAAATCACTGATAAGTGATATAAATAAAAGTTTTATTATTGATGTGTCCATGCTATTATCACACACTACTCTAGTACACTCTTGTGTGGTATACAGCTTGCTCCCTGAACAAGAAAGCACTCAGCTTCACCCTGTGCTCAAAAGCTGCTGCTAATCTAAATTATTTTGTAATTCTAAGAGTGAGCTAGTTGAAACTCTGAGATTTGTGGTGGTATTTCCCAAACTTTAGGCAATTCCAAGGGTGGATGCTTAGATATAGATAAAATGAGTATGCATTAATGCAGTCTTAATGTGATCCCTGGTCAAATCTTCATTGCAAAATAGCTTTTGATGTTGCTTCTGAATACTAAGTACTGCTACTGCAATGATCCACAAATGTTGCTGGACAGGCTGACACAGAGCTACAGTCCAGTGGGTAAAGAGGGTCATGGTGAGAGAACCAACACCAGAGTAAGGCTTATGTGGTTCTTCCACACCCAATATATCTCATATATTCTCCATGGCAGAGGAATGGCAGGATGGAAGAATACCACATCAGGTCTAGGGAAAGTGTTATACTAATTTGGCAGAATGGGAAGGGAGCCATGTGGAGTGGCACAGCTGCATGTGGAAAGAGAGTTTTAGCTCCTATCTCTCTAAGGAAATTCATCCCTCCAATAATAAACTGAATATGTAAAACAACAATAAGGCTGTTGCAATATTTATGTCTAAAATGAATGTTTGAAAAATTACTAGAGCTCTCTGCAAAAAACTTGTAGCTGTAAGTGAACAAAAACGTAAGGTTTGACCCAAGATTGTTGAATTTCCAAATCTGCAAAGTCATTTCTCAAATCACTTATTATCCTTGCAGCTTTCACTCATTAATTTAAACTGGACTCTTTGAGAAGTTTCACAGAACAATGGAAATTTCTAAAATTTAATTAAGTGGATTTTTTTCTTTTTTTCTGTATTTAGATCTTGCCCAAACATACATGAAGTAATGAATCCAAATATTCATCTGAAAGGTAACATTCTTTCACTACTGAAAAAGGAAGTATGGTAGCATGTCTATGTAGCCTACTTCTTATTCAGAGACAGTAAAAGTCTGTGATAGATCTGAATATTTTAACATCATAAAAATGAAAATGAATTAGTAGAAAAATTAAAATTAATGGATACCCACTAAAGGGATATCCACTAAGGCAGACAACAAAAAGGTATTTACTTCCACTGTGCCCAAAAAAAATATTTGGTTTCATGATGGTATACATGGCAAAAAGCCAGAAATAAGTTATTCTTTAGATGTAGATTGAAAATATTAGCTTGGCTGATGGCTTCTAGAAAGCAACTGAGGGAACTTTCTTTTTCCATCTGCTGCTACCTTTGAAGGGCTCTCCTCTTTTTTGCTGTTTGCTGTTCCAAAAACAAGAAAACAATGACTTAGGATCTCTAAATTTGTTTCCATGGCAGATTATGGTCAGTAACAAGCATGTGTTTAAAATACATTAATTTCAAAAGTAAATCACTGCATTTACTTCAGTTCCTTGTAAATGAAACTGCAGTTCACAACTGTAGCTGAGCTGAGACCTTTAATGCCAAGTATATAAAATTATCTAACTAAAAAGAGGCACAACTAGCCAGATAAATTTATTTGATGTACCATATGTTTATAGTGTTATGTGAAGTTTGCTTAAATGCATTCAATATCCATATAATATAGAAGATTTTAATTTAGGGCTGGAAAAAGCAGTTCTGGGAAAAATAAAATCCAGCAATCTATCATCTAACTGCAAATCTTTTATTGTTGTGGATAGCTGGCCTTAGCCCAAATGCCTACCAAAATCGATATTTATTCACATGCCTTTTTCATGTTTCTGAAGTGAAACCTGCCTAATCTTTTACTTGGTACTCCAACTAAAACTATATTATTCAGGAAGCTTGTTTGCCTAGCCCCTCTATATGCTTTAAGAAGATGCCTGTATACCTGAACAGGACAAGGTTTTGCACCATAATTTTGGGCAAGACAGTAAAAAAAGTGACTGTGAAAATGTCTACAGAGCTCTTCCTTGCAGCATTTCCAGCTTCAGGGCTTTTTCTACTGAAGTGCTTAGGACACACCCTTAGAGGATCACAGGGTTTATTAAATCACAACCCACAATTCTTTATCACTTTCTGCCACTGGCTGAAACACCACAGTGACTAAAAAGACCACTGTGCATTCATAGATTCAGAGAAGCCAATGGGAACAGATTTACCTTCTGTTTTCCCAATTAAAGGGCTATGTTTTTAATGTTGGGTTTTGTGTAGAAATTCCTAACCTGTCACCCTTTTAAACAAAATTTTTTTAGGTCACCATGAAAAGTCAAGGTTGCCGCAAAATATACACACAGTTTTATTCCACTGCAAATTAAAGAGAAGATAATTTTTTCCATTTTGTCCTTTAACTGGCAGAAACACACCCACATGTATGCCACAGAAATATAACACCTTACTATTAATATAACTGATAGTCTCTATTTATCAATTTCACAGGCAGTGCAGCAAAGCAATGAAAAATTTTCAGACTGAATAAAACATGACGAGTCCCTATAGCTTGAGGAGACTCTAGCCTGTGCCAGTTTTAAATCTTTAGCTTGCAGTGAAAAAAATTATGCCAGAAGGTCCAGCTGATTGCAGCTACTATCGTCATTATGAAAATTATATTCTTAAATAACAGGAAGAGTGGTTTCTCACTGGTTTGTACTCCTCAGCTAGCACAGAGCAAATATTTGGGCAGTTACCTTATGTAGAGGGCAGACCCATGGAAAAGCAGCACCAGTGCTGCTCCCTTCACTGGTCCTGGTCCAGTGCCAAGAAGGCCTGAGAAGAAAGAAGGCAGATGGAGTTCATCCCAACTCCAGTGAGTCATGCATACCAGAAGAGATGATAAACTTACCTGGACATCAAATTGTAAACTGATATTGGATAGCAGTACATCACCCCAAAGGCTTGTGATAAACAGTCCCCTTTTAGCATTAAGCCACTAAATGCAGGGGCAATAGCATTGATGTTTATCACCATTACTCTCTTTTTTTTTGTTGAGGATAAATCAACCACATTCTTTTTATGAGCAGAAGTACAAAATCTACAAATTAAGTCATTGCCTCTTTTAGTATTATCGTGGTACAACCTTTAACAGGGCTAACTTTGATTAGCAACCGTAAAAGTAAACAGAAAATCAGACAAGTAGCTTGCATGAACTCCTCCCCTGTCACCCAGGAATGATCCTCCCAGTAGAGATGAAAGTACTACATATATTGAATAAATGAACATTCAATGCCATCTGCTGGAGTACATAAAAATATGCAATACCAGGCTCACAGGATGAGAGTTACAAATGCAAAGAGGGTGTTCATACAGAAACTTGCTTCTTCCGAAACACAGCTGTAAGGGAGGGTTGTGGGATGCTGGCTGTCCTTAACACCCTTCAGTCATGGGGTACAACCCCTGGAAAAGTAGTCTTCTAAGCATTACTACACACGGTAATTATTTCTTATTTGTTGGTCTTGAGAGAAGGACTTTCATGCTCTACTTTTGAAATCAGGCCATTATGTAGCCAGCCAAAGATGCAAGATTTGTGAGGTTAAAGGCAGCCTAAGAAAGGATTGAAACAGTCCAGAATGAGAGCACATACTGGGCAAGGCCGTACCATGGCTGTTTTGCATTAAAAAGTCACTGGGTTAAACGTGTAAATCAGGTTAAGTGCAGAAGTTGGGAGTCTCTGCTCACCAGCTCTTTGACCCTGTAGCTCATGCTCTCCTGGCTGTACCGTGGAACAGCTTCACGGGCAGACAAAGACCACCGAGAACAGCCTGATAGCTGGACTGTTCTCAGATTTGGGATTTTCTTCTGCTACGGAGAGAACAAAACACGTTTCTACTCACAGAGGGATTTCCAGACCAGGAGTCCCACAGATATCAAAGTTCTGCACCAAGAAGCAAAACTCAGGAGAGAAAGGGGAGCTCTAGCACATCCTTCTTTGGGTGTTTTTGGTGGGCGGGCTTAGACACGCCCATGACTGTGAGTCCCACTTCCACATGGCTACTTCCTCATGCGTTGTGTAGATCCACAAACTCCTGGGTGGACCTGCTTCATGTCCTTTTTTCCATCTCTCTAAAATACTGTAAATAAATACTCTCAAATCTGCGGTTGGCAGACTTTTATGCCTTTATATACGTTACTAGCTACTGTATAATTCACAATAGAATGGGACCTGCTGACAGCTTTTCTCCATTTCATACAGAAAAGAGAACTATTCCTGCTAACACCTCTCATTCTGTAAGTACCATATGTTCTTCCTAAAATTTTACCTTTTTTTCACTTCCTGATGTATGTTAATATCATCTCAGCTATAATACTAACATAAATGCAATCATCACTGGTTTTTAATGCAAAATAAGGCATAAGAATTGTGAAATATAGATGAGAACATTTTCTCTTTTTTTAGTGGGATCTAGACTGGAGAAGTGACTCACTCACCAATTCTCCATTTATGGGCTGAATCTAAAATACACCTTTATCATAAGATCAAGTAAAAATAACAGGAGTCAAGCTAAACAAGGATATAAGTCATAAACCTCAAGATTAAATAGGCAAGCAATACAAATGAAAGCTGAAAAGCAAACAACATATTTCAGTGTCTTTCCATTTGTATTTGAAATCTGGGTTTGAGTTTCAGTTCAGGCATCTAAAAAAAGTGTAAATACCTTTTAAATCACAAAAAGATGAAAATAAAGCACAGGTCTATGTTTTAGCAAACAAGCTGGACAAATGAAGGATGACTTAACAAATTTGATGCAATCAATACTTGGACAGCTTCAGATTTCACAGAATGATTAATAACAATCAGTTCCTATATGGGATTAATACCAAATAAAAGGCAAACACATAACAGAGCAGAATGGGGAAAGAATGGTCAGGAAATTATTTACTTATGCTAAGACACTTAAGTAATTATTTAAGAAATTTCTGAGATCTTTATTCACTTTGGGAATTCTCCAGAGTCCTGAGTTTCTAAAATTATGGAAAATAATAGTTGTAACCACATTTTCTTCCAAGAAAGAAAGCAAATCCTGAGGATTTATTTGGTACCTGGAGAGATTATTAAACAAATATTATAACAAGCATCTTTTGGAAATAATAAGTCTGATTATGTAAAGAATTGTTAATGTGACATGAAGAACATCTCATCAATTACTCAAACTAAAAGTAATTTCCTTTTCAGCAGAAATATTACTACAATAATGAGAAGGAAAACAGTAAATATGTTGTATATTGCTTTTTATTAGGCCTCTGATATTCCCCAGAAGACAGTCTCATAAACACATACCTGGTTAGATGAAAATTATTTCAACTAGGTGAAAATGCTTGCACAATTGATTGAAAAAATAGCCACTCTCAGCCTAGCTGACAGTATTGCTATTGAACTGGAAAGAGTGGTGCAGAGAAGAGCCTGAAAACCCAGGTACCCTGCAGCGTCTGTCTAGGCTGTGGTGACTTTTTTATGTACTGTCATAAAGACAAATCTCACCCTGCAATGTACTGTAAAGAACACTTCTTGGAGGTCTGCCTCGTGTTGTAACAAAGAGGTGTACAAGCTGGAGTGTGCTCACAGGAAAGTAACACTGGGGATATGAGATTCAAAGTCTTTTCAGTTGGTTGAAAATCTAGGAAAGATTTAATAAGGCATATTTGTTTCTTAGAAGAATAAATAAATAAATAAATATAATTATAGGCATTAGCATATAAAGTTTGAAATAAAGTAGATAGTTATCAATTTGTTTAGTGTCCTTGGACAGTAAAACAAACTGGATTCAATTTTAGCACTCAAGAGAAAAAGCATTAACAGAAAGGGCAGTTAACTGGCAGAAGAAGATACGTCAGGAAGCTATTGATTCCCCATTAGTAATGAGAATAAAACAAACATCAGGGAATAAATTTGAGAACAAAATAAATTTGAGAATAGACAAAACATCACAGAAGACCCAAGTGCACGGGTGCACCTACACTGTTGGTAACAAAATATGACTTCTAGAGGCATGGGGTATCCTCAGTCGAGTTTCCTCAGCAGCAATATTGGCTCTGTGCTGGAGGAAGACTGCAGTTGTGTTTCAGTGAGCAAATGGTGAAGATGAAGGGTGGAGCAGCACTCTAGAACACAACCTTGAACAAACCTCTACAAGTGTAAAGACACATCCAGAGACATCCTGAGTCACTCTCAGCACCATATTTCCATGGACTCCACCGTTCAATACATACTCACTATCACAATCACTTGGACTGCACATTTGTCAGCACAAATTCCCCCAAACACCGTATGTTTTTATTTTGAAGCATGACATTTGTGATGAGCTAGCTAATATATTCTTGCAAGTGACATATGTAAACAGTCAGTACAATACAAATACCACATGGATAATATTATAATAAAAGATACCGTTTCAATGTGTGCAATGATCATAAATTAAACACTTTCATTATATTTTCAAGAGCAGAGAGGCAAAATTCAGAGAGACATTTAAACTGTCTCCCAAATGGCTATTTCATGAATTTCAATTTAAAATTAAGGCACTCAAACCACTTCCTCAACTACTTTCCAACCCTTCAGTTTTCATCAGAAAATTTCCCATGCACCAAAATGTCTGGTTATGGCAATCATATATTTCCAAGCTGAAATCAATCTTGAACTTAAATTTATTTGTATTATCTGTATATCTCTTCTTCGATCCAGGGTGAATACTTGACAATGAAGGGCAAGAGTGATGTACAGTTTTCCTCTGAGCTGTCTGAGGAGGAAGAAGATATGTATGAGACTGTAAATTCTTCAGTGCTGGAGGCCATGCATTCTTTGAGAATCCTTCCTGCCAAACCTCTACAAGAATCTGAATATGCAGGTAACATTTTCTGTTGAAACTGAACAAAACCTAGAGTTATAGAGGAACAGTACAGACTTGGAGTTTTCTGTCCATATATATTTTTTTTTTTAATCAAATTGTTCAACTGGAAAATAACATTGGCAGGCAGAAACACGGCAAGGCCTTTTTCTGCTTCTTCATATTCAACAATTACCCTGATTTTCATTAGATTATGCTAAATTAATAATTACACACTGCTTTTTAATTTTACTATTACCTTCATGGGATAAATTCTATTATCCCATTCCCCATGGAATGTGCAAAAAACTGGCTGATCAAACCCACAGCCTTTTCAGAAAATCTCACTGCTATTTAAACCTAGAAAGCTTGAAGATGGAAAATACATTAAAGAACACACTGAACCTTCCTCCACATGATAATGTAGTATTCTTTCTAAAGGAGTTCTCTGATGCTTTAAATAGCAGTAATAAGCAATTACTTTGAGTGTATTTCTAAAACATTCTTAACTTTGTAAGGCAGCTGCATTAATCATCTTTTGGTTTCCTAAAGCTATTCTAAGTCACATTTAATGCCTAAACATACAGAGGCAATTCATTTATGGAATTGAAATGTCATCCTAGCTGTGCATTGCTCCAATCCAATATAAATACTCCAGAGGTTCTAAATAGTTAAAAATATGGCGGGGAGTCCTAGATGGCAAAGATTGGAAGCCATAAACCAGATAACTTGCTCCAGTTCACATCAAAGTCAGCAAAGATATTTTCTACACATTTTTTGTGAGAGTCTGATGTCTAAACAAATAGATGGCTTTTAAAGTGAGTAAATTCATCAGTGTGTGAAAGGATCACAATCAGCCTGAACAAGCAGATATTCTACATTACGTTCCAAGACTAATTTGTCCATTTTATTTGGAAACCTGAAGTAAATTCCAAGTACAGTTTTTATCTTGGCTAGGAGTAAAAATTTTCATTTAGCAGTCAGCATCTTTTGTTGTTTATGTAAGATTGTCCTGAACTAGCCAAAATACATGGGTTTTGTTTTGTGATTTAAGGTAAAACACATTAAACAAAAAGCTGGTTTTGCCTGTGTATTATGCCCGGTAACTACAATGTGTCAAGATAAAATAGTGAAGAAAGGACTGAAAATATATTTCAAAAGGGTAAAATTCAATGCTAACATTTTTGCCATCTTTTCTAGATAAATACCAATGCCCTTGAGATGTAAAATTAATGACTGAAAAACACATGTTAGCATACATCCTGAAAATTTATTTTTGATGGTCAGGGATGCAATTTTTTATTAAAAGCTAAAGTAAAAATTGAAATACTATCTAGAGAATAAAACACCTACAACACTTGCAAAACCAGAACAACATGACGGCATTGCCAAGAGCAAAGGTTCAAATGAAAAACAAATTCAGTAATCCAACCACAGTTAAGGTCAAATGTCTGTCTTAACTGTTTACCAGCTTATGAAGGCTTTTATTTATAACCACAGTGAGGACATTAACCATAAAGCTCTTACCAGGGTCATGCTTTTGTTCTCAATACAGCTGCTAAAATGGTTGTTAAGTTCTGAAAACAAACAAACAAACAAAAAATTAAAATGCTATATAAATTATGAGACCTGATCTGAAAAACACATTTTGAATATTAAAACTCCTCCTTCTTCAAACATTATATTACTGAATTACTCAGGCTTGATTTTTCTTCCTCTTTTGCAGACACACGTTGCTTAAGGCCTTCAGGTACCACTTCCCCAACAAGCGAGAACCCATCTCAGCCCCTTCAATGCTCAGCTGTAAGTAAAGATACTAATCCTTACTCATAAACAGATTTCCCCTTTTCTGTAATATCCCCCAAAGTGCAGTCTATTTAAAGTCTTAGCAGTACCACATTCATCTGCACCAGGGCAGCCCGCGTTCCTTTGAGCTGTTCCTGTTTCACTTGGCACAGATGCCCTTGCTTCTTGCTTTCACTCCTCACTTAGAGGCATTCCAGCCAGGAGCAGCCCCCTTTCTACTGGGCATAGCTTCAGGAATGATGGCTAACATCACATCTTTCTTTTGGTTTATTAACAGGTTCACACATTTGATCCGGAGGGGAGAACAGTGCCAAATGTAAGAGGTATAATTAAAAAAAAAAAAATCTACCCATTTCTGCAAACAGAAATAGTAATTTCTACTTCCATGTATATCTTTTGTACATAGGCAGAGATTACATGTGATAGAATAGACAGTTTTCAGAACAGCAGCTGCTTTCCAAAACAATCGTCATGTAAATTTTGCAATACTCTTTCAACTATCTGACACTGAAGTAATTATTTACAGAAGGAGATATATTTTATCTCAGGAGTTCCCTGCTCCTGTGGGAGGGGGAAGAAAAAAAGCCCTTCAATTTAAAAATCAGGTTTTCCTTTTTGCTATATTGTAAGGACATATGGGCAGAGAGAAGCCAACATCTCCTGAACTTTTTCACTAAAAGCCTGCAAGATCCCCACAGTGCTTTACTTCTAATAACGTAATTCTTTTTCACTCCCTATCCTTCTCAGCCTTTTCCCACGAATATATTGTAAAACATAATCTAATAACAATTTTTAACTAGTAATACCAACTTTAGCAATTACAACTAGGGATTTACATCCTAGGGTGACCATTTACAAAGGCTTGTGGACAATGTTCTGACGTACTCAGAATATACTAATGGTGTGGTACATCACCTAGCATCTTTTTTTCTCTGCTGCTTTACCTTTAACCCTAAATTTGCTACAAAATCCTTTAATTTTGAGTCAAAAATGTACCTTTAATTTTTGTTCCATTTTTTTGGTGAAATCAGAGACAAGCAATTTTATTCTTCAAGAACCTAATGAAGTGTCCAAATAGAAAATCCTTTGATTGACAGTTTCACTCAGTTGTAAGATTGTTTTAAAAGTAGGTTTCTATATACTTTTTTACATTTCATTTACTTTGGATGTAGTCAGCTACTGAAGGTTTAAATATCTGATTATCTTTGCAAAGAAATGGTATTTTTTATCTTACCATTTTCAAATCTTTGAACCACAAGGTAATATGGTCAAAAAAAAGCCAAGAAAATGTTACCCTTTTGTGTTTGCTCTAACAGCTTATTTTTAGAAAGTATTATAATTTTATCAGCCAGAAAATAACTCAAAGAATTCCATGTAAAACAGCATTTGGTTTCCCCCCACCCCCCCCCACCCCTTATTTCGCACTGTAATGCAAAATGTAGAGAAAAGTAATTCCTACAGATGAGGAGAAAGTAAGCACTATATAGGCTGAAAATTAAAGGTTAGATTGATTCATGTGAGCAAATCCCCATGTAGGCCAGAAAAAAAGATGAATTGAGATAATTTTGAGTAAGCCAGCTTCAAAATCTGCAGAAATCAGCAGGCAAGGACAGTTTGCCAGTTTATTTAAAGCTTTGAATTCCACCAGGAGGTTGGATTTACATGTCTCCATGTGATGTCTGCTGATGTTAAGATGAACCAAAGCCAGTACAGGAAGGTAAATTAAACTCTGGTGGTTGAGAATATTTTTAGTATTTCTTGAGTGAATAGTGCTTGTAGAGAACACTATTATTTTTACATAATAGCTACACTGTTTTTAAATATTTCCTAACATTTGTTCTCATGCCCAGTGCTATTAAGTGGCCTTGCCACAAGATGGCATAAATAGCACAGAAGACTTTTTTTCAGCAGCGTTTTCTAGAAATGTTAAACATATAAGGTACCATTATTTTATTCATTTGTTTTTTTTGAAGGAGAACTTGAGATCTGTTGCATGTCCTTTGCATTAGCTAGGATTTCAGTATGTAGAACTTAGGAAAATAATTTCAGTATAGCAAAAATAAAGATTATTTTTAGTAGTAAGATGTTAATTTAAATTAGTAGTTAGTAGTAATATGTTAATTTAAATAATCACTCATATTTTGGTATGTTTGAAAAAAATATAGAATTTATTTCATTGGTTTTCAGTATTTTAATAAATTTCTGTACAAAAATAAAACCAGATAAAAAATGCATCCCTAACTCAATAAGCATATATATATATATGTATATAAAGTCTCTGAAAAATATTTAAATTTACAATACCTGAATAAATATCACCCTCAAATGTTTCATTCTGAAAGCAAGAGCAGAGTTTTATAGGTAGAGCCTGAAGAAGGCAAGGAATGGGGTTGGACTGCCCATAATAATAGCAACAATACCAGAATAAAGCTGTAACTTCATGTGTGAATTATATGGGTAGCACTCTACTAAGAATTATTTGTAATTATTCTTAGGAGGAAGAATGAATCTACATGGATACCAGGTAAGCAGATTCTATCATTAAAATTTTTACTGTTTATTTTGCCATTTAATAGATTTTTAAAGGCAGGCTGCCATTTTGCTAGCACTAGCTAAAGGAAAAGAGAACTCCTATCTGCAGTCCTACATTATGTTACTCACTTGCAGTCACATGAGGATGTCTTTTATTCCTGATTTTAAAATGCCATGTTACAGAATGATGTTCTGTGCTGCAGAGCACATAAACCCTTTGACTCTTGACACAGGCATGTCTACTTAATGTAAATTCTTCATATTTCTCTCTAGTAAACTAAGGGGGGAAGGACGTTTACAGAGATTTTTGTTTCCTCTTTTCCAGGAGCCCACACCTCCCCCACGGTAAGATCCCATCAGAGATCACTTACCTGTGCTCCCCGGGGAACTCGGTGCTAATGAATGCTCACATCCATCTGTGCTGCTCATGCTAATGAGGGGACTGGAAGTGAGCCAGCATCCTTTCACTGCTGCCTCTCTTCGGACTGAACAGGTTCTGATATGGAATTAGGGAGAACAAAGCACGAGCTCTAAGCATTCATAGCAGGAGCTCAGGCCTGCATCTTCAAAACCAACTTGGCTGTGCCTGCAGACAAGTCAAAAGCCTAGAAACCTTGAGTCTGGTTCAACCCAGATATAAATTGCTGCGGGAAAAAAAAATGCCACCAATTCTATTGGTGCCTTAGGCTCTGTTCACTGTGATAATACTGACTTCATTCTCACTTAAATCAATTTGCCAGTGCTTTGTGCTGCACAGCAAAATCATGTATGGAAATCAACTGGAATATTTTCACTTACTTCCACAGAAGATAGATCAAGCTCTATTCCACAAATATATTTTTCTGTTATATGCTCACAAATAAAAAAATAATTGCTTCTTGATTTTGTCAAACTCAAGTAATAATTGCTATAATTTTAAAAATCCTTTCAAAGGGTCATCTAGGAATGGGAAGTTTATTCCTCCATGCCTACACTGACTGCTCCAAAAGAGAAAAAGAATTTTAAAGTATGATTAGCATTACATATTTAGATTTAACTATAAAAAATATGAAATACCATAAAAGGGCAGTAAAACCTCATAAATTCAAAACTGTAATAGTGCAGGCATGACAACATTCTCAATCCATTATTCTGCAAAATTTGAAAAATTTGTTTCTGTTTGTATTATAGTGGCCAGAATGGTTCTCAGTTCTTTAACTTGACTTAAATTGGGGATGTACTGTGCAAACACACAAGGCTCCCACCACTGAAGGCAGTTCTGCTGGGCACCTTGGATGCACCTCCAGTTTTGTCCAGCCAACCTCTCCATGCTACAGCTTCCAGCTGGAGCTGGGCTGGGACTGCCTGGTCTCACAGCACAGACAGGGACTGCCCACATCCCTCAGAAAACACCTGGCCCATGTTACCTGTGATTTTTCTGGGATAAAGAACATTTTCCTCTGTGTCTGAAACTGGATTGTGTTCACTGGACCATATATATATGCAGCCATACCCACCTGGAAATATCCACACTGCAGAGCTGTACTTGGTACACACTGGTGAGGCACACAAAAGCAGTTTTTAGTGGCACAAAGCACCATGCAGCAATGTCGTGCAAATGTAGAATATTATCCAACATTACTAATGCTGTTGAAGGGTCCTGAAAAGCTCCTATATCTGAGCTTGGCTCAGCACAAATACATTGAAATACTCTCAGAAAATTCCAGTCTCTTACTTATAGAACTTGTGCTTAAAATACAGTCCCTGCACCTCCTTTATTCCCTAATAGCTTTTCAAGGTCTCTTTCGACTTCTCTAGGCCTCTGAAGATGCTGCCAAAGCAGTATCAGCCCCTTCCTCCAGAGCCAAGGATAAGCAGCCAGGTCTTTCACAAGAGGAACACGCTCAGCCGAGATCCCACCTCTCCAATACCAGCAAATGTCACAAGGTACAGTGCATTCCTCATCTTCCTTCCCTGAGAATCAAAACACTCTCCGTGCTCAAACCACAAAATTTTACTTCTGTCACACCTCTGCTTTTGCTTAAGAAAGTTACTCTTTAGACAGCTGTGAATAATTGAGAGAAGTGGTATTTATGTAATGTGACACTGGCATTTAATTAAAAAAAAAAAAAAAAAAAGAACTGACAAAATAATGGTAAAGAAGAAGAAAAGCAGGCAGAATTTTCATTAACATCTTGTTTAAGATTTTTTTCCTTAATGATATTTAGAGGTCTTGCAACCACTTTTAAGTACAAAAAATGCTATTTACTTATCACAGTTAGTGAATCAAGTGATGGGGAAACACACTGACTGCACCAGAGATACAGAAACTCACTCCACATCCCAAAGACATTACATTCAGCAAAAGAAATGACTCATCTGTAGGCAGAAATCTGGCTTCAACCCATAAGACCAATTAATCCAAGCTACAAATCACTTCTTGCCCTTTCCATTTTGCACTCCTCAGCCACACAACACCCATGGACACAAATCCAGGGGCCATGGGGTATGATGCTCAAATGACTCTTGACAAAAACCTGTAACAGCCAGAAGCTGGGTCAATCTCGTCCATCCTTCCTTAAATCATTTCAATTTCAGCTCATCAGGATGGAATTTTGCTTCATTTTAGAGAGGTCACTTCAAATCCTTTGGGGGGAAAATAAGATTACAAATCAAACAAACAGTCTTTAAAGTATGTATTTAACGAGTGAGCTCTAATTATGGGTTATTGGGGTGGTGTTTTTTCCCTGAATGGTGCTTAAATTTCTTCATGGCTTAGGTTTCAAAATATGTTGGTTACAAAGACATTTTATTAACATGAAGTAGCTTCATATTCAGATGCAAGACCTGACACAGAGCTGCAAAGTTCCAAATCCCACGACTGGTCCCCTCCCTTGGTAGGGCAGCACAGGGTGAAAGCTTTGTGAGAAATGTTATAATCCATGTTGCCAGCTGATATCAGTATGCAGAGCACTTGGATTTAAAAGGTCCTATTATAAAGCCAAATTCTGTAATATAAATACATGTCACGTCTATTGCACTAGGGGCTTTTATCACATGAGTAAAACAGAAGTGGAACAGAATAAGATAACACAATATCTGGGGGAGGCACTTGACAAATTTCTCACAAGCACTTCACTCAAAATATTTCTCACCCATCCTCAGTTCAGTTACAGCTTTGTAAGAAGAAAACATATGAGCTGCAGAGGGAAGGAGTATGGCACCACAGCTTACAGTCCTTTGCTAGACTGTAAGCAAAGCTGTCCAGCCATAGATGTGATTTAGGAGTGCAAGTCTTCTTTTCCAATAAAATTTGGAAGACTTATAAAATTTAACACATCATTATTTATACAATCTAAAAAACAGCTTTATAAAAAAATAGGCAAGCGCAGGGTCCTGGAACGTATATTAGAAGCTCTGTTGTGATTGAAATTTTTATATGCCTGCAGTTAAGCAAGGGCCATGTCCTTTGGAGGTGGGGGCCAGCCCTGCAAGCACATCTTTAATGTCATGGAACTTTACCACACACCCAGTGTCCTGAATATGGGCTTTCACACCCTAAGTAATGGCCCTGGAGACCAAGCTAACAAATTGAAGAAACCAACACAAAAACAACTATCCAAATCAGAACAGTTCCTCTCCTTTCTCTTAGCCTTCTTGAATAATACAGATAATTTCCAAATTTCTTGCCTCAGGCCTCCATGCTGATTGATGTTTTCAACACAGACATGAGGAAGAGAGCCCTTGTCACTGTTGAAAAATAGCTCCCAGGGTTTCCTCTACCAGATCTTCCTTTTGTCTTCTGACTGATTTAGTAGAATTATCTCAATGTCATATTTTTTCAGTCCAGGAGATAGGCTAAACAGAGATTTAATCTCAGAGCCTTCCAAAAGCTACTAGATGCTTATTCACACCTTATGTTGCTAAATAGCTTGTAAAATCTGGTACCCTGTCTCTTTTATTAGGAAATACACACTGCTAAAAAGTGTAAGCTTTCATCACAATCAAAACATCTAACAAAAGATGTCAGACACAATACCTTATCCATTTTTTTTGGAAGGAGAATATTTCCTTCCCAGGAAAGGATGATACTCCTGTTGATATGCATATCAGGAGAAGTCAGAAAAATACCTTAACATCTACTTAATGAGGGCCATGAGGAACATTCTCCACTAATCTTTTCCTGTTTTGCACCTCCTTTCCTCTACACATTCCATTTCAGCTCTGTGAGTGTTTAATTTTTTAAATTCTTCAGTCTTCAAGGAACTTATTTCCATTTATAGCTGATTCTAAAATGTGTAATGAGACCTTTTGGCATGAGATGAAAAGTGCTGAAGTTGATACTCCTCTTTTTCCCCCTCCTCCCAGTATAAATCCTTAACAAAGTTGTATTTTACCATAATGAATTCAGTGGATGCTATTTTTTTAAGGAAGTCCAAGATACTTCTCCTGAAAATAAGTCATGTAAAAATAACATGCTTCTGAACTTCTCCAGCAGTAGCAAAATCCTTCCCTTGTCAAGATGTAATCATCAGTGATGATGTACTCAAAGTGATTTTATTTTATCATAATTAAATGTTTTGCATATTATTCTTTCTTTTCCAGACATCCATCTGTTAAGGAATCAAATCAAGTAAGTATTCATCTTTGTATGTATTAGGACTATAAAAGCAAAACACATTCCACAGCTACACAGTATGTAATAGTATTTTTGCCTATTAGGTTAAAAAAAAAGTAAGTCATATTAGCTTTGAGCCATAAAAGTGTCCATCTTTAATGTGTGTTCCTATTTCAATACTGCTACTTCCTGAATGGGGTCAGTTTCTGAATTTGTTTGCAGAAATAAAAACATAGGTACAGTGCAAAGCTACCTGTCCAACTATCCACACAAAGCATCTCTTGTAACTGTCTGATGTGGATGCCTGTAAAGAGGCAGCAGCAGGAGATGCTCTCCTTCAGACAGAGATTCCACATACATTTTACAAGCAGAAAACTGAAATTATAAGGTCAACAGAGGAGTGTAACATTAATGTAATATAAATACTTCAAATATAAGATGGTCCATTTCAATACAAAACAAAAATGGACAAATTTTTAATCCAGTTTTACCAGTCCCTGCTAGCCCCCAGCTCCGTTTTGCCTCTCCTTCCCCACTCACTTTCTATGCAGACCAATGAAGTAAAGCAGAGGAAATGGTTCTATCAATAAGGGAGTTTAGTTATGACAAGTGCTTTCCTATAAAACTTATTAAGATATACAGTCCCTACAATCATGCACTGATAAAGGATGTTTGTAAAATTTGGAAAGAGATTATCATTTATAGCATTTTGTGCTTCTTACTGAATGTTTTAGTTCCTGCACTAATGTGTTCCTACTGAATTGGTTTTATTATTTTTTCCCATTAAAGGGAACAGAAGATAGGAATCTACAGTAGTTAATCCCAACTGTTTCCTTCCACAGCAAGTTGAAGCACAAATCTACGGATTTCTCTAACTTTTAAATCCATTGAGTTTTCCTTCTCCACAGGTCTGACTGGGAGGCTGCCCCAAACCTCACTCCTCTTGGTTAGAGGCTTTAGTTTGAAAGATGGTGACAAAAACATGGTTTGATAGCAATATTGTAATCAACACTTACTGCTTAAAAAAATGATATATTGACAAGAAAGATAATATTAAAAAAAAAAAAAAAAAAAAAAAGAAGCTTTTTCTTGTCCTGGATACTGACTCATTACAAACCAAATATGAAAACACTCCCAAGAAAAATAAATATCTTACAGCTGTAATTAATATTTCTGGCTGGAAATTGTACAGCTGTACAAATACCTCAGCTCTTAACAGACTCTTAGTTTGGCTACATCATAAGGAGAAATATTGTGTGTCTCATGACATGGAAAAGATAAAATTTAATTTTGATCACTTCCCATTCCTATAGATATGAAGGCCTAAACAGTTTCAGTGTGACCTGCAGACGACAGAGTTGTCTTGTCAGGGTTTCAAACACCAAAGAGCAGGTCAATAGCTTTGAGAGAAGGACTGCCCTTCACCAGAAGCCAGACAGGCTGCAGGAAAGGGTACTGAGGAGCCTCTTGAAATTGGAAAGGATAAAGGGAAAACGCTACCTAAGAATGAACTAAACCCTCTGCTCAGCTCAGAAAGACCTGGGGACCAAAGGCTGAACATGAGCCACTGGTGTATGCTTGACAGCCACGAAGGCCAAGAGCATATCAAGCTGTGTCAACAGAAGCATTGCCAAGAGAAAAAGGGAAGGGACTATTCCATTTTACTCATCACTCATTAGGCAACACCTGGAGTACTGCTCAAGGCTGAAGCTGGCAGGGCACAGAGGGTCAGCACAGGGTCAGCAGGACATGCAGTACCTGCCCTGTGAAATGAGTCTGGTGGGACTGAGCTCCCTTTGCCTGGAGAGGGGAACCCTGGGGGAACCCAACAGCTGCCAGTCGGTGTCTGAGAGATGCTGGTCAGAAAGGCAGAGCATGGTGCTTTACACAGTGCACAGTGGAAGTACAAGAGGCAACATTCTCGAAATGATGAAGGTTTCAATCAGAAATAAGGAAGAAAAATTGTTTAAATTTTTCAACTGGGTATTGAAAGAGTTTTTCCAGATAGGCTGTGAAATCTGCATTCTGGGAGGTTGGCACGACCCAGCTGGTTAAAGCTCTGAGACCCCAGGTCTCATCTCCCAGTTCTCCATGCTTTAAGCAGGAGCATGGCTTAGGACCTTCCCAGGTCTTGTCCAGCCTGAATAAGACTTGAAATTACTAAGTAATAGGTAAACATTACTGGGGAAGTAACTTATAAGG